TAATTCTATCAATGCCAACTTTGGCCTCATGAATTGTCTCACATGTTGTCCCATTTGTGATTAAATTTGAATGGTGCACGGTTTCAGTAGTGTCAAGTTTCTTTACCAACTTTTTAGCTAAGGTTTGCGGCAGCTATTATAATTTTTTTTTTTTTTGTCAATCCTCACTTATCTATTTTACACCTACTCCTACTCTAATCTATTCTAAAGAGAGGATCCAGGATCTATTGGAAAACCGATAGGGATTGACCTACTATTGAATCAGACCGTATGTACTATACACCCGTATTAATTTAAACTATTTAAAATAACAAGACACATATAATAATAAGTGACGATTACAATCTGATGTTGGTAATGTACAAGATCTCAAGAAGTAATGAATTACGCACACTGGGTGCTGCTGCGGTTGTGATTCCAGACAGTTGTTCTTATCGCATTATTCGGTGTATATTCCTATTGTATTATTGTATTTATATAAATGGCGACGAACATGAATATAATACTTCATGTACATTAAGTACACTTTTTATATCCAAACTGAACAAGATAGAGTACAATCACATTAACCCTATTCCAAATTAAGCTACCGAAGTATGTTCTGTACAACGTCCGGTGTGCCCCCGAGGCTTCTAACAGATGAAATCAACATTGGAAACCAAACTTAGGACTTCAAGGAGTATAATTATGCTGTTATCTTGATTTTGCTTGTATTGATTTTCTCAGAAAGTTCCTTCCCCATAAAGAAAACGTTTAATAATTTCCCTTCTGTAAGGTTAGGCTGTATACCTAGATGGACCAGAAGGCATGGCCACCAAAATCATAGTTGTCGCATTTATTTGCACGCGGCCAACTACTTGAGGTAGTTGGGCTGGGCATGTCAATCCAGCTTCCCTTCCAACACGCCCATCGAAGCAGTTTACATCATAACAAATTCGGTACACTTTCCAGAGAATACGGGCCCGGACGACAACCGTTCCTAGCAATATGTCAAAGGTCAAGCTTTTAACAACAAAGAGAAAAAGAAAGAACAAATGTTTGGGGTTCTGTGCTGAATACTGGGGATCTGGAGCTATATACTTTTTCATACTCCGGACGTCTCAATTTGATAATTCAATTTTTTTTCACAGTTTAAAAAAAGTAGTTAATTTTATTGAAAAAATAAATTTAGCTTGTTATTTTCTTAAAATACTCTCATATTAAATATGGTACAATTTTATGAAAACTTGAATTGATGGTAAAAAAAGAATCAACTTTCATTAAATGAAATAGATTTATAGTAACAATTACTTATATTGAATAAAGGTATTTTAGAAAAATTAAAATAATTATATTTTTTAATTGAAAAGTGTACTATAATTTGGGACAGATAAAAAAGAAATACAAGACTATCAACGTGGACGGACGAGGTATAAAAAATGTGAAAGTGGCGTGAAGAGTTAATACCTCCTGAAAAAGTTGCTGTGCATCGTAAATGGTTTATACAACTTGCGTAATTAATACACATAGGATCCATGTAAAAAGTAGCTAAATAGCATGCATCGATTATAAAGTTGTATAAACAAATAGCGAATTATAATCTGTTTAAACAATATTATACTGTTCAAGAACGGTTACCGCGAGTGTTTTTTTTTTTATTTATCGATACAGGGATGTTCGAGTCAATCCTTATGGGGCCCGACTAATTTCCTACGACCCGGGTTCGGCGCCCCAATCCGACCCGAACACGTTACGTGGGCGGAGGAATTCAGCGGAGCGAAGATTCGAACTTGTGATCTCAAGGTTCACTGGTGAAAGGCGCTGCCGTTGGACCATTCACGCGGAGCGTTACCACGAGTGATTAGTGACGGTTATTTTAACAAAAAAAAATAGTCTTTTGCATCTCTATTATAAAATTGTCGTGTTATTACAAAACATATTACAAAATTGAGTTGCGTAACCATAGATCAGTCTGATAAATGTCATGACTTAAATGCTCCAACAACCTCAGGGTGCTCTTTATTATGCTAGAAGTCTCGACATCCTGTCAAATAATGGATGTGTCACAATGACACAATAAGCTCCAACTATATTCTCGAGCAGAGACTAAAGGCTTTCAAGATGGAAAGAAACCCAAACCTTTTATTTTGATTCCCACCCAGTCTTTGTCTCCTGTTAGATAGACATTGAAGTTTATCGTCAATTTGTTAAGACTTAAAAGAGTAGGATCATTGGTATGATTTGCAAATCAAATTTAAGAGTACATATCAAATTCACATACCTTGAGACATCGAAAATATTCTTCTGAAGAACTACGTAGCTTTTAATCACCAAACCTCCAATCACCAAGGTTGTAATCTATAAACTTGAAACCATCTAGTCTTATCTCACCTAACTCTCCCATTATGTTATCTTTTTAATGATAGGTAAAACATGTATCAGAGTGGTAAGAGATATCAAAAGCCCTTAGGATATTTACATAGTCTGTATTCCCTCCCATCATGAAATAATGGTAGACCTTAATATCTTCAAATATATGTACTTTATTTGTTAAGTATTATGATAAGATATAGCTTGATAATCACTATAATTATAAGGAACAAAACAGCATTATATATAACATATTTAAATAGAAAACAAAAAATTCTGGAATTGGCTAGGCAATTTATTCGAACAAATATAGAACCAAAATAAATGGGTTTTTTTATTAATTACCAGTTCTTCCTCTTGATTTGAGACCTATGATTCAGATAGATGGAGGTAAACTAATGAGCTTGGATATTAATGAACTTTATAGAAGAATTATCGATTGAAACAATACTCTTACTGATCTATTACCAACAAGTAGATATATTCCAAGAGAATTAGTAATATGTTAGGAGAAATTAGTTCAACAATCGGAGGATACACTTCTAGAAAATGGAATTCGTTGCTAACCAATGAAGGATGGTCATAATAAAGTTTACAAGTAATTTTAGATGTAATTGAAGGCAAAGAAGGAAGATTTCCCGAGACTCTGCTTCTCAAACGAGTCAAGTATTTAGGTGTTCCGTTATTGTTAGGGGCCTTCACTTTCATTACACTGATGTGGATTGCCGAGAGAAATAGCAATAGAACAGACATTTGTAATTCGTGGCCTAATTAGACAATAATATCTTACTTCAAGCATAGATATTTCTAAGAATAAAATTCGAAAAAATGAACCTATTGTATAGGAAATACTTCAAGAAGTTATGCAGGGCGTCCCATATAACTGAATAGAGCACCCACTATACATATATCTTAGGCACAGTCTAGAGGCATTCCAACTCGTTTTATTAGAAAGGCGCGCTATTTGATTACCTCCATTAGTTTGTATGGGATTCAACCCAAATTTTGATGGGGATCAAATGACTATTCATGTACCTTTATCTTTGGAAGTCCAAGACGGAAGCCTGTTTACTTATGTTTTTTCATATGAATATTTTGTCTCTGGCTATTAGAAATCCCATTTCAGTACCAACTCAGGATATGCTTATGTCGCTCTCTATATTAACAAGTGGAAATCATCTAGGTATTTGTGTATATAGATATAATCCATGGAATAGCAGAAACTATCAAACTGAAAAAATTGACAATAATAATTATGAATATACGAAAGAACCCCTTTTTTTGTAATTTCTATGATTCAATTGGAGCTTATCATTGGAAACTAATCAATTTAGATAGTCCTTTGTGGCTCTGGTGGCAACTAGGTCAATACGTTATTGCTTCAAGAGAAATTCTTATTGAAGTTCATTGTGAATATTTAGGGATTTATTATGAGATTTATGGACACAAAAAGTATAAAAAAAAAACAAAAAGAAATTCTTTTTCTGTATATTTGAACCACTATTAGTGTGATGACCTAATCAGACCCCCATTTTGGAGACTCAATCGAATGTTTGCCTGGCTCTCGCCAGGGCCAACAATAAAATTCAAGTCTCCAAACGTTTAGAAAATTTAAGCTTAACATCCTGACTAACAAGTGAGTGATATACTTTAATCCTGTATTTAAACTTCCAATACATTCCAGATACAATGTTCTAAAGTAAATATCAAATTTACAATCTTCCAAATCATAAATATTTGGGATAATATCAGAAACCTCCCCTTAGGTTTCTCTTAATATCACCTAATACCCCTAAGGTTTCAAAAATATCACGTACCTCCCTTATTTGTGTAACAAAATTTTTAGAAACCCTAAACTACCCTTTCACTTACTAAATATAAATGTTCCTAAATCACTTTGTTCACTTCAAGAAAACCATTACTTTAAAAGCAATCTCTTGTAGTACTACTACATCACAATGCTATACCCCATAAAAATATAAATTTTAAAAATAAAAATGATATTTGAAAAGAAATACATTTGTATCAATTTAATTCGATATGCTCAAAATCAATTTCTTATGAATTTATATTTTTTCCACCATCTTCTTAACCCTTGCTCAAACCAGTAAATTATACCAATTATTATAAAAATCAACTCAAAATAAACAAATAAATAGTACCCTACTTTATCACAATCACAAAAAGTAAAAGATTACTAAAATTTAATTTGTTATAATTTATAATATAATATTGCATATTCATTCAAAAAATATGAGTAAGAGAGAATGATGGAGAAAAGGGAAAAAGAAGAAAGTGACTTCCATTTTTTAAAAAATTTTGAGTTTCATTTATTTAATATGTTGTAAATTATGTGTTAAGTGAGGGTTAATATCATCTTTTTACAATTATTAGAGGAGGTAAGTGATATTTTTAAAACCTCAAGGGTGTTAACTGATATTAAGAGAAACCTCAAGGGAGGTTTCTGATATTATCCCTAAATATTTCTGATGTACTTTCTAGTCCTCCGCTCCACTTTCCGTTCCTTTGACGCAAGGAAAACAATTGAAAAACAATCACGCGAGCTTATGCCCAGTGAGATTATAGTCGTAAAATATTTGGGTCTCAAAAAATTACTTGTAAATGCATTTTCCCAATAATAGACATCAAGATAAAGGAAACTCAAGAATATGTTCAATAAATAAACAAGTAATTCCAACAAATCAACATAAAGCATAAATAATCAAACAAACAATTCAACACATGTACAAAGGACATAGGTACTGATGCAAGTTCTTGAGGTTGCTCCTGCCCATTTCTAGACATAGCACTTAACCCTGTTCAGTATTCAATTTCAGATATGGCTTCAAGGCTATATGGGCTTTAGAGGCGACTCCCACCCATTTTTAAACGTAACACTTGGTCCCGTACAATATTTAATTCCATTAGCAATTCCAACTCCAAAATATATGCAATCTCCAACATCAAATCTCCATCATCTACAGATCCAAGCTCCAATGGCCACAACAAGAGGGGGTTATCTCGAGATACCCAAATAACACATCACACACCCACAAGCTGCTGAACATCCTGACTAACAAGTGAGTAGTGGAACCACGGTGCCTAGACCGTTTTAACCAAACCCAATGCCGAATCAACGTATCCAACCAATACGTGGCAGGGCCCAATTCTCCCCTGTATGATAAAAGTGCACTGCTGGGTTTAGAAGCATGCACGAGTAACTTCAGATATGATTCAACATTTCAAAGGTCATATATTATAATAGCAAATTCAATCACGTCAATATCTGAAGTAACATTTTTCCTATATGATAAAGTGCACCATAGGATTCAATAGCATTCACAGATAAAATTTACAAGTAAATTGAGACAATAAATTGAGCACTACGGTATGCCACCAAACTCAGTATCAGCAATAGTTCATGTAACCTTCATCTTACAAAATAACGTGCACACCAAAATCACTGGCACCCATCAATAGAGTCATGTAATGGAAATAGGGTAAATAAAGGGTCAAGTACTAGTACTTTGAATTGAAATTAGGTAAAGGACATGAATTATAGCAATCAAGCAACCTAAGGACCTGCAAATCTACACTATCTCGACATGCATCACAAGTCTGAGAAATCCATGAAAATATTCTAGGTTAGAACTTCGACAAAGCAAGTTTCTAATGACTTTAATGTCTAAAGCACATTTTGTTAATCTAAATTGGTACACCAATTCATTTCGTGTCAAATTTGAAAGTTCGTCGAACTTAGTAGATATGGAAGCTGATCAGGGCCTTATACAGATTGAAGTTCTGTGATGTAGTTTCAAACATATCAAGTGCAACTAGTCTTACATGTCTAGCCCAAGCTATGAGGGATTTCCCAATTGTCCATTTGGTTGATTGGTATCCCCTGTCCTTCCTTACCTTGTTTTATACAGATTTCAACATTTTAAATCCCAAATAAATTGCAGGTAACTCTTCTCATGTACGCACTACATCTAACGGGACAAGAATCAACTCAATTGAATTTGTCAATTGGAACTTGTTCACAAAATGGCAAGGCTGTGAGGGTCAAATATCACATTGGGCAGTCCAACTAAAAGCACCATATCCGGAGATATGAAACTCACATGGCTGTGATGCTCAAGAATTCAGAAACCAGACTCCGAGTATTAGAACTATCATGAAGTAACGATTGTGTGGTTAATGTCACAGGTTATTCAAAATTGCCCCTAAATTTGTGATAACTCTCTTTCACAACTCCTCAGGCTGGTGCGGTTCTGATTTTTAAATTATCGTAACTCGAGCTGTACAATTTTTATAGACATGACACCTGAAGCAGTGATAACTTTAGTTAACGTACTAAATATTTCGTAAGAAATTCATCTCCCAATTACCATCCCCAAAGGGCCTCAAAAATGCCAAAAATTTATACTATCACTTTGCATGTCCTTGCCAAATTCCGGGCTAGAAAGTCCTACTAAATTCACCATATCTTGAAATATAAAAATCGTATGTCCATGATTCTTAAAAATTCAAAAACTAGATTCAGGGTACTGCAAATATCCAAAAGATATCATTTTGCAATTTAGATCATAAGCTAATCTAAATTCAGTGAAAAATCAATGCAGTTTCCAGTCACAACCTAAACAGGGTACAATTTTCAGCCATTTTCAGATTTTCTGGCATTTATAAATGTGACAGCCCCACCTCTCCCTAGGGCGAACCCTAAGTATCAGCGGACTGTCTGCCCAACTCTCGCCAGGATTCAGTCGTTCAAAGAACTACTATCATTAATGAAGCAACGTAACATCATCCACTCACGGAAATTGAAACCCTGATTCAAGCATAATCCCTAATCCAACATTTCAGCTTAGCACATATATCATCATGTCAACTTACCACACTTTACTCCAATTTACATAATAAAACCATACTTAAGAAATTAAGCTTACAAGTCTGCTTAAAAGGAAGTCACAACCTCAAAACGCAAAACGGCAAAATAAAGCTAAGTATGCCTTTGATCAAAAGCCTTCCCGCTCTGTTAAGGAAAACAAAGGGAATGGGATGAGCTAAAACTCAGTGAGGTTCCAAGTAAAACAAGTAAGCACATAGCCAAATAAGAGCACAGAAATAATCAAATAAATATCACACAGTAGGATAATAGTTTAATCACAGTTCAATTCAAGGATACGGGTGGCTTTCAAAAGCCAAAGATCCACTTCAGCTTGATCATAATTGCCTCCTGTTGACACTTCGTCAACATTTGTATGCACAGTATAAAAGGATCCGTAGAACACCACTTTCACCAGTCTCCGTCCACCAATCTGCCCCCCACCGGGCCCGCACTCCATAAACAGTAGTTTGGTAATATTCGAGTATACCAGGAATCCGAGTTCCAATGCTCAAGGATTCCAATGAAACAATATCAAGCCGAGGATTTTATCACTGGTGGTGCTGGACAACACAACAAGCAAGCACAACGGCTATGCTTCACTAGGAACCTCCAAGCAAGATTCAATTTCCAGTGAACAATAAACAGTTCTCAAGGTTTATCGGCCTTCTCGACCAAGCCCTTGCTGGCTCGATACAACCGACTCACCTATGAGGTTGGGTACCCAAACAGTAACAGTAGTTGATGGAATATCATCCAAGCAACTTAAGCACTTTCATGTATAGCAATATCTCATTTCATGTTAATTCATTCAGTAAGTAGAGCCTCCGTGAAAAGAAAAATAACACCAGGAAGGTCGAGTGCGATAAAGTACACACTCGCCTCAAATTTTAATTAAAACAGTGTTTGGCTCAAACAATAACAATTCAATACTTTCAAGTACACAAATATTTCACATAACAAGTAGCAGGTAGTGGAACACTCACCTGTCAAACAAAAGTCATTATCAACTTCAAATGATTCAGTTACAGTCACCTCTGTTTCCCGATCCTAGGGCAACGAATGAAAACGATAACAATAAGATTCATTTCTCACTAAATTATAGGTTCGTGAAGAAGCTAAGTAACTAAGGTAATCTACTTAATCCTTCATGTAAATGAGGTCCAAAGTATAGTAAAAGTTCATGAAAATACATGTTTAGTGTTCATATGATTGCTTGGTAAGGAAAGGTTTAATTTAAATTCAAAGGTTTCATTTTCGGTTTGAACAGTGTCGGCCGGCCAGTCTCGGGAAAACGGTCACGGCTCATTGTAGGAGAGTCAGAATTAGGTTTTGTCATTGCGTTGGAAACTAGGTTCATAAGGCTAAATTTATCTAGAAGAAACCATTTCAAAAATCCCAACATAAGTGGCTCCAAATTAAGAAACCAAATGAAATTTCTGGACTGCCACGGATGAACAGTACCGCCCAGGCAGCCGACTTCCACGACTTGCCACGGATCGCTCAAGACGAACCAGAAAATGAGCTTGGTACCGTTTTAAAGCTCTAAGAGTCTACTTTCAAATGCCACAAATGGCACTCAATTCCGATTAGTGACTAAAACGTTATGGCCTTTACTAGATTGCTGGACAGAAAGTTTCTGGACCTAGTCCAGTTTTGTCCCTTTGCTTGCAACTCAAAATTTACTCAACCAAATTGGCTAATTTTTTGTAGACAACCTCTACACACATAAACCAACATATATCACTCACATTTGTAGCCAAAATATGCATGAAACATCAGGGCAAAATTCGGAAAGCAAGCTGGACAAATTTCGGTCAGCACACTTAATTCTTTCCCAACTTTCACTCTTTTCATTATTTTCACTTTTTGCATATCTCAAGTATTACATCTGACCATATAGGGTTTTAAAGCATATCAATACCTCATAAACATACATGAATAAGGGTTGAACATTTCATCAAACACTTGGTGTGCATACTAACAATTCATCCACTACTTATTAAATTCAAGGGGTTAACTTCAAATTCCAACCACAACAACTTGCAATTCATGCTTAGAGCTTATAGTAGGTGATCTAACACATAAAAATCCCAAATTAAAGAGTACTTACCTTACTTACAAGGTGTTCAAATCACCAAGAAATCCACCAAGTAGAGGCTCCAAGGTTGGGATTCAACACTAAAACAAAGAAAGCTTCCTTGCAAACCCTAAATTCCTCTCTTGAATTTTGGTCTTTGATTTGTTTAGGTAAGAAAACCTGATTTGGGAGCTCTCTCTCTCTCTCTTCCTTGAGCTGAAATTCGGCCAACACTAAAGAAAAAAAAGGCTTTGGCTAGTTTAAATAATCTTCTAATCTTGGTTCCAACAAGATACTTGGCTAAGGTTTTGCCACATGTCCACTTACTTGTCCCATTCTTTCTTAATCTTTGACTAATTGTGAGAACCCAGAGAAAAAAAAAAAATTTATTTATTTATTTATTATTTTATTCCTGTGCACCGTTTTCTTGTATTTTCTTTACTATATTACTTTTATCAATATTTTATCAGTAAATATAGTTTTTAAATCATTTTTCTAGTATAAGGTAGTTCGTGAGAAATTTGGAACGTATTTTGGACGTGGGACCCACTAGTGCATTTAGTGAGAGAAATTCGACCAATTCGGTTAAATTGTTCATAAAGGGATTTCATTACTAGGTGTTAGGAGATGATTAGAGGTTACCTAGATGGATTAACTCTGGAGGGACAAGAGGATAACACTAAACAAAACAAGGTGCCACGTGTCCAAATGTGGTTGGACCAAGCTTACCTAACTTTGCCTAACTTTCTTTGTCATTACATAAAAGTCCAAATTTGACCAAAACCTCTTCATTCTTCACCTCCTCATTGCCGAACCTCTCTTGCTAGCAAAGGGAGAAAATTCTTCAACTTCCATCTTCTAATCTTGCTTCAATCTCGAAAATCAACCGATTGTTTCTTGAATTAGTCCGTAAAATCACTTTGCTTGGAGTGTTTGAAGACCTTGGTGGTGTTATTTTGGAAGAAAACTCTCTAAGCTTCAACCTTTCTTGAAGATCTAAGGTATATTGCTTGGAACTCATCTTTTGTTTCTAATTTTGGCCAAATGGTGCCTTATAGTAGCTATATACGTGATTGTACGGAAGATTTGGTGGATTGGAGTGAAGTTTCCTAATTTTCTGATTTTTCTTGGAATTTTTCTGTTTTCATATGATGGATATGATTGGGTTTGATTTGGTGGTTCCAAATGGTGTTTTATAGCTCACTTGTGCGTTAATTGTAGTTAATTGCGGAAATTGCCGCTTGTGCGAAAAATTTCAGATTTAGGGTTTCAATTGGGGCTTTGCTATGGTTGATTGTTGAGCTTCTAATTGGCTATTATTGAGGGGTATTGTGACCCTAATGAAGTATATTGAATGCCTTATGAATTGTTTGGGTGCTTGTGGTTGTGTTGGATGGTTTTTATTGGTGTCTTGTAGGTTGGAAAAGCTGAAATTTTAGGGGAAATGCTGTCCGAGTGTCTAGGGCATTGGATCCTTGTGAGTTGGGTTGAGATTGACTAGAAATGAATAATTTTAGGGTTGTTTCTACTTTTAACCCTAAATATTATGTATTTTTCATTTCCAAGCTATATTTGGGTTTTACCTTAATAGTTCCTATTAAAAGGTATTCGACTCGTGTTTGAGTCTTAATTGTACTTTCTTGATTATTATAGGGCGTGCCGGTGATCCGAGGCTCACGTCGGGCGAAAACTTGTGAAATTACTTTGTTTGACTTGGTGAGTGTACTACTCACATATTTGTTATTCCGTGGCTTTCTTATACTTGAATTCTGTGTTTTGGACTAGTTGTGATGATTGTTTGGACTAGGTGAGGCGAGGGTGTACTTTACCACTCTCGTACTCTCTGGCCTACTTGTTTGGTTATGATATAACTGGAATACTCTTGACTGTATTTGATTTGGTGTCGCTTGGATGCCGATCCTTAATGTAACTCTGGATCTGTACTGTTTACTTTGAGCTCTACCTCATTGGAAGTCAATGGACTCGAGCCAGTAAGGACTTGGTCGGGGACATTTGACAAGCCATGGGGACTGTATTTGAGAATCTTTGGGTATGAGACCCTAGATTCCGGTTTACTCGAGTAATACCAATTCTGTACTGTGTGGTGTTCGGGCCCGGTAAGGGGAAAGTGAGGTGGACGGATAATTGGAGTAAAGAGGGGTCTACGGTCATGATTACCTGGTATACATTGACGGAGAGTCAATGAGATGAGATCAAGTATGGCAAAAGAGGAAAAGGGCTCTTGAGAGCCATCCGTATCCTTTATTCCTTACATTTGGGTGTTATTGCTTTTACTTACTTGACGAACGTATTTGGACTGAATGCTCTTGAGTTTATGTGATCTTGGTATATGTACGTGACAGTACCTCATTGGGCGAAAGCTCACTTCGTAAATTTTGTTTTCCTTACAGGGAATTATCTTGTGGACTTTTGACTGTGATGAGTAAGTTGAGTGGAGCTAGTTGAGAGATTTTGTATAGCTCCTCAATAGTTGAAACCTTTGTTGTACTTGGATTTAAATGTTTTCTTTTGGCTTGTAACCATACAAAAGTGGTTTGTAATAGGGTGTATTCCTATCCAATGGATTGTACTTGGCTTGTATATACTCTTTTCAGTGATTGTTGGAAATTTCTTGTAATCAATGGGATCTTGGCGGATTGTGACGTGGCAGCCACTATTCGCTTTACGTTTTGCCTTTTGTTTTCCCGTTTCTCATTTATTGGGTTGATTAAGCGCGCCAATATTTTCCCGAACGACTTGAGTTAGTGTTTGACCGTTTTAGTAGTCCTGGCGAGAGTTGGGCAGGCAGTCCGCTAACTCCTTTGGTACGCCTTAGGGGAAGGTGGGGCTGTCACAAGTGGTATCAGAGCATAGGCTAGAAATAACCTGGGCGAATCTAAAACCTGTTTCTTAGAACTCTTGGGGATTGTGTTTAGACACCATTAAGTGTGAAAATATTGTTTAAGCTATAAACCTTTGCTATCTTTGTAGGTTATGGCCGGTACCAGTGGTGCAGGCGGAGGCGAGCCACCTCAGAGGCGGCTCCGAGTCATCGACTATCAGGAGAGACCCGGAGGTCCGATCCGGCTGTGGTATACCGCTAGTCGGACCCGCCGCTATAGGCGTTGCCAGTTTTACTCCTACGCGGACCACGTGGTTGAGGGGGTACTTGCCGAGCGACGGAGGCTGAGATGTGACGCCGCCAGGGAGCGTACTGAGACCCTTAGGCTTAGGGGCATCATGCGGATGCAGGCCGATAGGATTGGAGAGCTCCAGGGGGACGTGGCTATGGAGCAGGAGAGGACGGACGCTCTGCGAGAGCAGTTGCAGGTGGTTAACGACCGCCTTATTCGCGTAGTCCGGGAGGTGAGAGACCGGTCTGGCGCTATTATCGATGAGTGTGGGGCGCTCATCCAGGGAGTGATTGGCGCCAATGCGCCAGGGGGAGTTCCAGGTGGTGGAGCTCCAGGTCAGGGAGGCGCCCCTAGCTCTAGCTCTGGGGGGGAGTCGGTTGGCTCCGTGGAGGACTAGATTAGAGTTTTTGGGCCTAATTTTGATCCCGTGTGAGGGATACCTAGGAAAAGCTTTTGGGTAGTTGTTTTGTACTTTTGAGACCTAGGTTTTATAGTGTATTTTGGCAGACCCTCTTTTGGCTTCACGGGAGTACTTTGTATATATTTGCTTGACTGCTTATGTATGACTGTTTGACACAGTTATGTGTTCCATGTATAAATGTGCTATGTGTATACGTGCCTTATGTGGTGTTTACTTTTAATTTTGTTCATGCTTATATGACTATATTGATATGCCTTTTGATATTAGTTTGTGCCTCGATTTTAGAGTGACCTAGAGAATGGAAGGCACTCGTAGCGGACGAGGCCGCGGGCGTGGGGTTAGGCAACCCACAACTGACGAGGGTATTAGGAATACCACGACTGAATCAAACCCTGAACCTAGGGTTGACCCTAATGCCCAGATAGCCGCTGCTATGCAGCAAATGACTGACCTGTTAGCCCACGTAGTGTAACAGCAGGGCCAACCTCCTATCCAGCAACCTGGGAACCCTGGCCATGTAGTGGAAAGTGAAGATCGGGCCCTGGAGAGATTTCAGAAGTTCTCTCCGCCAAAATTTCTAGGCGGGCCAGATCCGGACGTGGCCGAAAAGTGGTTAGAGAAAATGATAGATATTTTTGCCGCCCTACACTACTCAGAGGAGAGACAGGTTACTTTCGCTGTCTTTCAATTGGAAGGAGCCGCGCGTTCTTGGTGGAATGTGATACGCATGAAATGGGACCGGGAACAAACCCCAAGAACATGGGTAAATTTTGTGAGGGACTTCAACGCAAAATACTTTCCCCCTCTAGTCCAAGAAAAAAGGGAGGACGAGTTTATTAGGCTCCGCCAAGGGACTCAATCAGTGGCTGAGTACGAGAGCCAGTTTACTCGTTTATCCAAGTTTGCCCCTGAACTCATTCTGACGGAGCAAAGGAGAGTTCGGCGTTTTACTCAGGGGCTCAATGTGGAAATTCAAAAGGATCTGGCGGTAGCCCAGATCCACACTTTTAGTGACGCCGTGGAGAAAGCTTTGCGAGTTGAAAATGCAAGGCTTCAAGTAAGGAATTTTCAGGTGAAAAAACGGGGGTTCTCTGCGAGTAGTTCGACCCAAGGGGATAAAGGGACCCCTCCCAAGTTTGGAAGAGGAGCCGGTGGAGGAAGGCAACCGGGGATGACACGAGGGACTCCGCCGAGGGGTGGTCACAATGGACGGGGCCCGCAGAAGAGCACCTCACAAGGAAGTTCGGCCTCAGTTGCACGCGGACCCTGTGGATTTTGTGGAAAACCAAACCACACTGAGGACAACTGTTGGAGGAAGGAGAGAAGATGCTTGCGCTGCGGGAGTGCAGAGCATCAAATAGCTAACTGCCCAGTGTTACCTCGGGAGGCGAGAGCAACCACTCAGTCGTCGAAGGCCAACTCGGGACAGTCCAAGGTAGAAGGGACAAAGCCAAAGGTGCCAGCTCGGGTTTACTCCCTTGAGCAACAACAAGTCCCTGATTCCTCTGGGGTTGTAGAAGGTACGATCCCTGTTTTCCATCGTCTAGCTAGGATTTTGATAGACCCTGGTGCTACCCATTCCTTTGTTAACCCCGATTTTATGTGCGGTATTGATATAAAACCCGTTAGCTTGCCTTATGACTTAGAGGTTAGTACTCCTACGGGGAACCAACATTTGAT